TTTGCTGCTCTTTCATGGACAAAGGAAAATGAAACAGAAGAGCTTCTTGTGTCTCTAGTATTGATGCATATCTGATAAGAAAGTTTATCTGGACTTAGCAATTAGTGGGTTAATTTTTTTCTGAGGGAGAATAATTATTACTTGCGTTTCACAATTCAAGGAAAACCTGGAGGCACCAATTGAGTCTTCGAAAAAGAAAGACAGACCGCTAGAAAACACAAAGAATAGAAGTGCAGAACACAATAAGGATCTTGAATATTTGAGCAAAGTTCAGGCAATCCAGTACGTGTGAAATCTGTTTTGTTTCCCATTCAAATCCAGTGAGTTGAACTTTTCATTAAAGTTTCCAAAAATGTCACAAAAGACAAGAAAAAGACGGCTTCAAAACAATCAGTTTCAAAATTATCGCATGATCTTCTCCTTTATGATAATTTTAAAAAGACTATTTATCAAGTTTATTATCTACTCTATAATCTAGTCTATAATCTTCTTTCCAGATTTGATGTTAATGTTGCTTGGAAGACAACAAAAGAATCTGCAATAAAACAAGATAAATCATTTGTACGAGTCTAGTATGAAAAAAAACCTGCATTGTCTAATCTGACGAAAATAATTACAACTCATTGGATCAAGCGTCAAGATAGTACTTCAATTCTTATGTTGCTTTTTTATCCAAATCAGAGAAATGTACAGTGGAGGGCCAATTGAAATTCTTCCTACTACTTTTGTTGTTACTATACTTCTTTTATTTTCTTAATCTACTATATATAGCGAGCCAGCCCGAAGTGTGCTGCATCTTTTGATATATTTACGCTGAACATTAAATGCAGTTAAAAGTATAAAAAATGAATTAGAAAGAAAGTGACATTTTTCTTTTTACTATGGAGTGTCCATAATGTTGTAATATTTTTTATGTCGCAAATACCGCGGCTTAGGTGAATAATAACATCTTGGATTCTTTTTGAAAAGATGCACCGCGAAATTCTCTACAAAATCTGTATAATAAAATTCTATTTTACCTGTTTTAATAGTTTTTCTTATACTCACAATGAACAACCTACATCACAGCGTCGCTTCCCATCACATGGAAGAATGTTTGGAAGATTTTTGTTTTGCATATATTTCGACTTGAAAAAATAAAAGAATATTGAATTTATTTTTACAAGACATGCCGTAGAACACTCTACAGAAGCTGTATGAACCAATGTCTGTAGCGAATCAGAAAAGTCTTCCAAACAGTTTCAATATGATAGGAAGTGAGACTGTGATGTAGGTTGTTCATTGTGAGTCAGTAGTGTCAAACTTGAAAGCTGAATTGAAGTACTCAACTATCAATTCAAGCATTCAACTATTCAAGCATTCAACTATTCAAGTATTCAAGTATTCAACTATTCAAGTATTCAACTATTCAAGTATTCAACTATTCAAATATTCAAGTATTCAAGTATTCAACTATTCAAGTATTCAAGTATTCAACTATTCAACTATTCAAGCATTCAACTATTCAAGTATTCAAGTATTCAAGTATTCAACTATTCAAGTACTCAAGTATTCAACTATTCAAAGACTCAACTATTCAACTATTCAACTATTCAAGTATTCAACTATTCAAGTATTCAACTATTCAAGTACTCAAGTATTCAACTATTCAAGCATTCAAGTATTCAACTATTCAAGTATTCAACTATTCAAGCATTCAAGTATTCAACTATTCAAGCATTCAACTATTCAAGTATTCAAGTATTCAACTATTCAAGTATTCAAGTATTCAAGCATTCAACTATTCAAAGATTCAACTATTCAAGTATTCAAGTATTCAACTATTCAAGTATTCAACTATTCAAGCATTCAACTATTCAAGTATTCAACTATTCAACTATTCAAGCATTCAACTATTCAAGTATTCAAGTATTCAACTATTCAAGTATTCAAGTATTCAAGTATTCAAGTATTCAAGTATTCAAGCATTCAACTATTCAAAGATTCAACTATTCAACTATTCAAGTATTCAACTATTCAAAGATTCAACTATTCAAGTATTCAAGTATTCAACTATTCAAGTATTCAACTATTCAAGTTTTCAATTAGTCAGAGCCTGGAACGCTACAGGGTTCTCTAGAATGCTGCCAGTATTACATAGGATGTTAGAAGCTTCTTCTATAATGCTACAAGTAGCTCCTAGGATGCTACAAGTATTCCCTGTGATGCTACAAACATCCGCTGGGATTTTGCAAGCATCCAATAGGATGCTACAAACATCCCCTAGGATGATACAAGCATCTCCTAGGATGCTATAGGTTTTTGTTAAGATGGTTCAGACATTTTCTGGGGCACTACAAGAGCTATGTGATAGGCTTGAGCTGCTGTGCAGCAATGAGTAGGAACAATGATGTGCACAAAGATGTGCATGGGTCGCGACGCTGAAATAGAAGGTGAGTTAGGTGGAGAAAAGCAGTTCTCCACTGAATATCCGCAGAACATTTGAGAAGTTAAAATTTGAATAGTTGAATAGTTGAAGCATGAAAACTTGAATACTTGAAACTTGAATAGTTGATTAGTTGAAACTTTAACTATTCAATAATTGAATACTTGAATTCAAGTTTCAAGTATTACATGTATGTTGTGAGTATAAGAAAAACCATTAAAACAAGTAAAATAGAATTTTATTGTACAGATTTTGTGGAGAATTTCGCAGTGCATCTTTTCAAAAAGAATTCAAGATGTTATCATTCACCTAAGCCGCGATGTTTGCGAAATAAAAAATATTACAACATTATGGACACTCTATAGTAAAAAGAAAAATGTCACTTTCTTTCTAATTCATTTTTTATACTTTTAACTGCATTTAATGTTCAGCGTAAATATATCAAAAGATGCAGTACGTTCCGGGCTTTCTCGCTATATATAGTAGATTAAAAAAATAAAAGAAGTATAGTAACAAAAAGAAGCAGTAAGGAGAATTTCAATTGGCTCCTCTGTAACCGATCCTATGGCAAAATTCATAATTGTCTTCTTCGTCAGCTAGTAATAAATCCCAATCTCATGCAATAAGAGTCTCCGAGCCAATTTCTCCTTCGATCTCAAACTCTTTTTCTCTTGTGTCAAAATTGATGCCAAAAACAAAGAATATAGTCATAGATAGAGAACCTCTTATCTTTTAGTAGATAGAAAAGGTGTGCTACTGCCTTATTGGTTTAAGCATGTTCAACTGTCAGATTACTGAATGAATAAAAGGTGACACATACGATGGCATAGATTCATTTGATTCGACATCTGTGTTGTATTACTCATTAATTTACCTTGTTTCTTGCTGCTGTTTGTTGTTCTGCCTCAGACATTTTCCCATAAAAGTTAGAAAGCAAATTGTCGTGTTGTCAAAATGGAGTTGATACCAATATAATTAGATTAATTGTATAGAATTTGTGAAATAGATAACCCTAACGAACTATCTTTGACTAAGCACATAAAATACATGAGCATCTGGAGCTAGAACGTCATGCGCTATGAACAAGTCTTGAGAGCTGTGCAGTTCATGCGCATAAGAAAGAAAACTCTATATAGGAAAAGGTAGTTTCGAGCTTTAGTCGCTTTTCAGATCGAACATTTTCCACCTAAGAATAAGTTCGACTTGTGAAAATATATCTGCTGCTTTTAATCACGGTTTTAATGAAAATTATTCTTCCATACGTGTGACTCTCATAAGACTCTTGGACATGAAAGTGATGTGCTATAGACAAGCCTTGAAGTCTGCACAGATCAAGCATACGAAAAAAACTTCACCTAGGCAATGATTTTCCTCAATAGTTTAATGCAGCTTTTCTAACCATGTGATAAAGCAGTGAAGTCTTGACAATGAGCTCTATGAGATTTTTAGAACGAGGATGAGGATCATAGAGGTTAAATGTGAATTTCGGGAATGTCATTTGTGATTATAAAAATTCCGGGAATCCGGGAATCCGAGATTCCCATGGAACTCCTGGGGTTCCCATTGGCTTCTCAGAATTCTCGTGGGATTCTCGTATTCCTGGAGTCCCGAGAATCCCACGTGAATCCTGTAAATCCCACGGAAATCCTGGAAATCTCATGAGAATCCTGGAATCCCATGGAAATTCTGGAAATTCCATGGAAATCTGGAAATCCGAAATCCGCTGTTTGCTTCTTGGTATTATCGGGTCATTATTTTTTTTTCATAGACAGTACATTTCTTGTACAAATATTACTTAAGTGCAACATGTTTTAAATGAACATATCAACTTTACGTTGCACGTGCTCATTATACAAAGACTGTAAAACAATAAATAATATACGCTACTATTTAAATACTCTCGATGAAATGTCTTTCTATCAATTACCTTTCGCGGAATTATTTTTCGATGAATAATTTTTCGACAAACACGTCATTCAGGTAACAATCATTCGATAAACAGCTTCCGGCTGCTTCCTTTGTTGACTTAACGTCATCATATTGAATATTTTGTGGCGCACAAGGTGTAACTAATATGTCATTGTGCAAAATATATGGTTGATTAAGTAATGGAATGAGACATACATATATGAATGCATAAATCAAATTGATGGAAGTAGAGAAAGTATAAAAGACAGGTTTGCTTTACTGTATTACTTCATAATATTATAACACCTCTCAGAAAAAATAAGGTTTGCAATAGTAAACAATGAACAAATTTTTAATTATTGGATCTGTATGGATAACGATCGTGACGGTGGTTTCCAGTGTACCTGTACCAAACATACCTGGCTTGGATCATTTAATAAGTGGCTTTGATGCATCAAAAATGAAAAGTATTTCTGAACTGGAAGTAGTCAGTCAAGATGATAAAATAAAAGCAGCAATATTTGATTTGAGTGAACTTGGTCAACCGTATGTGCTAAAAACAAATGGACATACACAAGTGTTTCAAACACCACTCGCTGTACAAGTCACAGATGTCAGTCGAAGAAGAGAGAATTATTGTGAAACAATTGCTAGTTCGTTCGAAGAATTTTATCACAGGCGAGTTAAGTTGTGTGCATATCTTTCAGTCACTAATTTCGTTGCATTTATTTTGTTTATAGCTACTTTCAATCAACGTCATTCAGCGTTGGAATTAAGGTGTCTAATTTTGAAGCCAGTATTGGCTATAATAAAATATTAGAAAGAGCTTATAATTCAACGAAAGACAAGCAACAATCTATTGGTATCTCAGGACGATGGTGGGGAATGTATTCGATGCAACTACCACCAGCATTCTTGTTACCGTAAGTATTTCTAAAGATAATTTAAAATAATAAAAATCAAAATCGATGCTGTTTTTCAATTGAAGAAACTGTGACTTGAAAAAAAGAAAATTTTGCATACGTTCATATTTTGATTATATGTAGTCTACTTTCCTCCAATCCTTTTATTTAGCCTGGAAAAATGAAGGATGTTCCTTTTTTAATTATAGAAATCACTGCGTTTTCGAATCAAACAGAAAAACAACGTTTCTGAGAGTTTTGGGAAACTAAACCGTAGAGGAGCGTTGAACTCTCATAATAATGGACAATGAAACGACTCTTTATTCTTCTTTTTTCGTTTTCAGTTTTAGCCGATATTTCAATCAAAGTATTCAACGACTTCAACAGATTGGCATTCCGACTAGCGAAGGGCAACAAACAACTTATAATAGCGTAGTCAGAGCCTACGGAACACACTATATATCATCTGTCATTGTTGGTGGTACAGCATTCATGTATACATTTGTCAATACATCATACAGTAGCAGTCAATCATATGAAAAAGTTTCCGAACAAATATCACTTACTTTTCAGTACAAACAATACGCCTTGTCAGGTAACCATACCACTGGTAGTATTTCTGAAAGGTTGTCGAAAGAATTTTTGAAAAATTCGAATGACATGACGGAATTTTATCCACCTGTTCAACCAGAACAAGGTAAATCAGAATGGGAGGCTTGGTTAAATCAAGCTTGGCAACAACCTGTAGCTGTTAATCGAACGGTTTCTCCAATCATTGATTTGGTAGTTGATTACCCTGATGTCCAAACACATCTACAAAAAACAATTGACTACTGCATACAATTCAACAAATATCCAACATTACAACAATTACAATGAACTTAATACGATAAAATTTGAAGGTTATTTCTTGTTATGAATAACTGACGAAACTAAATGAAAAGTGATTTTCATAACTTTCACATTTCAACAATCGCTAAAAACGAGTTTATTGTATCAACTTTAAATAGAACAATAAAAAAATTCATGAATGTCGTTAAAAAAACAGCGATTGCAACCGTTCATTTAGCACTTAAAATTGCAAAGCAAAACAGCTGTTTTGATTTTATTACGGAAATTTTCGGTAGTACATTCGATCGCGCCTGTACATTCATGACCACAGATTGACACTGGCTTTTCAGTCCATTATATGAAAGTGATGAACAGGTTGGTCAATATGTTGATCAAACCGGATGGAATGTAGACATTGTTGTTCGTATTGAATTTTATATTCTAGATGTAGATTAGTTGATGAGAGAAGATTGAACGTATTGTAAATGATCACAAAACTGAATCGATTTATATTCTGTACTGATATTTTGATAGAGCCATGATAGAGGGCATGGTAAATTCCGCTTTCCAGGAAATTCAAATTTGACTGCACCTCAAGTGAAGAATGATTTCAAGAAGGGTATGGTAAGGGTTGGGTTGAGTTGAGAATGTAAGGGATGGGATGGGTTGCGATGGGTTGGGTTGCATTGGGTTGAGTTGTATTGAGTTGGGTTGGATTGAGTTGTATTGGGTTGGGTTGGGTTGGGTTGGGTTGGGTTGGGTTGTATTGGGTTGGGTTGGGTTGGGTTGGATTGGGTTGGGTTGGATTGGATTGGGTTGAGTTGTGTTGAGATTGTATGGGATGAAATGGGATGAGATGGGTTGGGTGTGGGTAGGGTGTGGGTGTGGATGTGGGTGCTGTTTTCTTTTAAGTCACACCCCACACCTACACCCACACCCACACCCACACCCATACCCATACCCACACCTACACCTACACCTACACCCACATCCCACACCCATGTCCACACCCACACCCACACCCACACCCACACCCACACCCACACCCACACCCACACCCAC